CCTCCTGTCAGCCCCTCTCCTCAGGTTGCGCCCGGGCGGTGTGGTCCGCCCTCATGGACGCACCGCCTGGGCAAAGCTGCAGCCGCCTGAGGCTCTCTACAGAGCGCTCGGGCGGCTGCAGCATGGGGGGGCCGGCGGGGCTGGTCATGGCACCCCCCCATCCTGCTGGCACCCGGGGTGGACCGCCCCCCCTGCCCCCCCCTTAGTACGCCACTGGGTACATCATTTCTGAACAGGGGTTCAGCATGGATCCTTCTAAATTAGAAGCCATATTGTCTTGGCCTCTTCCTCAAGGCCTTAAGGCAATACAGCGATTAATAGGCATTGCCAATTATTATCGCAGGTTTATTAAAAACTTTTCATCAGTCATTTCTCCTATCACGAAACTGACTAAAAAGGGTTTGCACCCCAGGGTTTGGACTCCTGAAGCCATTAAAGCCTTTGAAACTCTCAAAAAGGCATTTGCCACTGCCCCTGTGTTACACCATCCTGATCCTTCCCTTCCCTTTATAATGGAAGTAGACGCTTCAGAATCAGGTGTAGGAGCTGTATTATCACAAAGACTATCCTATAACGAACCCCTCCATCCCTGTTGTTACTTTTCTAAAAAACTGTCTGATTCGGAAAAGAATTACGACGTCGGGAACAGGGAACTATTAGCTATTGTGATGGCTTTTAAAGAGTGGAGGTACTTATTAGAAGGAGCTAGACACAAAATCCTGGTTATAACTGATCATAAGAATCTCTCCTATATAGTTGATGCTAAAAGGTTGTCCTCTCGTCAAGCCAGATGGTCCTTATTTCTTTCACACTTTCAGTTCATTATCACATATAGGCCTGGGTACTGTAATGTCAAGGCTGATGCTATATCCCGACAATACGAACCTTTGGAGTCTATTGCCCCCGCTCCTGAACCCATTGTACCCACGTCTAAGATAATAGCTGCTACCCGTTTGGTTATTTTGTCTCTTTTCCTTGATGGTATCAAGGCATACCAAACCCAAGCACCCTCTGAGACACCTGTTGGTAGATTATACGTGAAAGAAAAAGATAGAAAGAAATTGTTAGCTTTATTTCACACTGCCAAAATGGCTGGTCACCCAAGGGTTACCAAAACATACAAGGGTCTCCTTCAACAGTTTTGGTGGCCTTCACTTAAGCAAGACGTAGTGGATTATGTGCAGGCTTGTCGTGTTTGTGCACAGTGTAAGTCTCCTAATGTTAAACTCCCGGGACTCCTAATGCCTCTATCCGTACCCAAGAAACCATGGACCCACTTATCCATGGACTTTATTGTGGATCTTCCTTCATCCAATGGAATGACAGTAATTTTGACTGTGACTGATAGGTTCTCTAAAATGGCACATTTTATTCCACTTAAAAAACTACCATCTGCGGTTCAGTTGGCTCAGGTGTTTGCCAAAGAGGTTTTCCGCTTGCATGGTATACCACAGGATATCGTATCCGACAGGGGCCCTCAATTTGTCTCTCGGTTTTGGAGGGGCTTTTGTGCTGAGATGGGGATTTCCTTGACGTTTACTTCCTCATATCATCCACAATCTAATGGAGCTGCTGAACGAGCGAATCAATCTGTGGAGTTATATTTACGCTGCTTCACGAATGCACACCAGGACAACTGGTCTCACCTCCTTCCCTGGGCTGAATTTGCCAGGAACACTGTGACTCATTCATCCACTGGCTTAAGTCCTTTTATGGTTGCTTATGGGTTCCAACCCTCTGTCCTTCCCGGCGTGTTCTCCGACAAGGGAATACCCGCTTTGGACGAGCACCTCACCTCCTTACGGAAGATGTGGGATCAGGTCCATGCTACTCTTTCTCGTGCGACTGCTACTCAGAAGAGATTTGCTGATCGTCGTAGGGGTGCTGCTCCTTCTTATGTCCCGGGTGATAGGGTTTGGTTGTCCTCTAAGAATCTCCGCCTCAGGGTCCCCTCGATGAAATTCGCGCCCAGGTTCCTTGGCCCCTATAAGGTATTGCGTAGGGTCAATCCTGTGTCCTACTCCCTGGCCTTGCCTCCTTCCATGCGTATACCTAACACTTTTCACACCTCCCTTTTGAAGCCCCTGCTCTGTAATCGATTCTCTGGTCCTCTCAGGCGTCCAGATTCCCTCCGCGCTGTCTCTAGTGACGTGTACGAAGTGGCTGCTCTGCTTGATTCTCGTTTTTCTCGGGGTCGGTTGCAGTATCTGGTTGATTGGAAGGGTTACGACCCTGAGGAGCGGTCCTGGGTTTCTGCCTCTGACTTGAATGCGCCCTCTTTGATCCGCTCCTTTCATGCGCGGTTTCCTTTGAAGCCTTCGGCTTCCCGCCCGTTGGGCTGGCCTCGAGGGGGGGTTATGTCAGGGGTCCGTGGGCGGCTAGGAGGGGAGGCTGCACGCCACTTGCAGCACTCACCCTCAGTCCATTGCCGCCCGCGG